CACCATGTTGGCATATTAAGGCTTAAATTCTAAAGCCCTTACTTTGTGGAAGGCTGCACTCTAGAGTGGGAGCCCTAATTCCTTTTTGTGTCTGGAGATAAGCTCAGATACCATTTGAGTTCTTTGTTCCTTACCCAATGTTTGCTGGCCATGACACCAGCAATGTGGCTAGCCTGGGACAAAGCTGGGCAAGCCGAGAGAACCATACTTTGACCTCAGGAAGAGTGTGGTAGCAAGTACAGTGGATTACAATTCCCAAGCAAGCCCAGGGAGTGGCAGTTTGTTCTCAGAAACTAGGGAGCTTGCCTGCTGGTGTCCTTAATAACGTACCAAAACATGTTATTGAGTTTAAATTACAAGTTGGGTTCCAGATGGCTCTGATACAAGGCTACATGACCAGGAATCATTCTCTGACAGCTGTAGAGAAGCCCTAGAACCAAACCTATAACTTTTAAAATTTACAATACATATTTAACGTAACCTAATACAAATTGTATTACATACAAATGTAACCTAATCACAGTCCTTTTCCTGCTTCTGTAGTCCCACCGGCAACAACGATGAATTGACTTGCCACCAATCATGATTTTGTGATGATTTTCTTTGTTTCCTCCATAAAATTGGTCAAATGGTTGTGAATCAGCGGCCTCCATCTGCCTCTGCACCCTGTGCATGCTGATGGGTTCCCTCATCCAGGATAACTGTCTGTTTTGTTTTTGTCCCAAGACTTAATAAAGGGAGCCCTGGTGGTGCAGTGGATTTCTCCACCAAAGAAAAGATGAAGCTTTCGACTTCTGTAAAAATTCAGTCTCAGAAACAAACCTACAGGGGCGGTTCTACCCTGTCACAGGGTTGCTATGAGTCAGAACTGACTCGATGGCGGGGAGTTTTGAGTGTGAGAGGTTAATAAAAGGGTCTCTATAGAACATGTTTGAATCTAGGATCTTTTCCCCTCTAGCAAGCACAGTGATACACTATCATACCTTCTCCTTTAATCCTTAAAGTCCAAGGATATACCATCAACCTCACTATATAACAAATGGCAGAGTTAAGATTTGGACCATGGTCTGTCTCACAGGTGCCTCCCCTAAGCAGGTTTCCTAGGAGATGTCACTGGCGTCACCATCCTTCCTAGGCCAATGAAAGTCTACCTTCAAGATAACCAGCTGCTGCTGTTCCAGATTCACCCTCTGTGGGTACCATGACCTGCCTGGCAGTGTCCTGTCCACACCCCAGTTTCACCTCTACTCTGTCCGACATGGGAGTGAAACCCCGGCCCCTTTCCCCTGAACTGGGTAGTAACATACTATGTAATTTGAGCTTCCTTTCCACATGCATAGGAGCCCTACTGGCACAGTGGATTGATTACACACTGAGCTGCTAACCACAAGGTCCTAAGTTTGAAACCACTAGCTGCTTTGAGGAAGAAAGATAAGGCTTTCCACTCAGGTAAAGAGTTCCATTCTTGGAAACCCATGGGAGCAGTTCTACTCTGTCCTATAGGGTCACTGTGAGTCGGAATTGACTGGAAGGCTGTGAGCTTTATGGAGCATCGCAGTCCAGTCTGGGACTATAAGTGGTTCAGAATGATAGCCCTCTGCAGTCATTAATTGAGGCTTGTGAATGACCAATTTTCATACACGAGTTGATTCCCATGACCTTGTTTTGGTGGCAGAAACTGTCTTTCCTAATAGACTTTTGTAAAGGAGCTGAATCTTTGTCAAAAGCTTGTAACTCGCAGGACCAACTGGCATTTGGTAGAAATGCCAAGATTAGCTAGCACCCAAAATACTGGTCCTGTTTTCGTTTTAGCCAGACTGATGCATTTTAGAATGTCATTTTAATTTTTAGGAATTCTTAAAAGCCAAGAGGAGCAGACTCCTGCATTACCACTGTCTCCAACGCTTACTAAAATCGGTCAGGATTCTGGAACATATGTCAAAAACCAGACTATAATACCGTGAAATAATAACCACAGTCATTATGTGGAAGACAAGGGTTTTGAAGTCCTACAAAGAAGGTGGATGATGGAGCCATCACAAGACGCAGGCCACATCTTTAGTCAGACACTGTGCTGGGCAGGAGGGAGGAAGACGCTCAAAACACAGTCCCGACACAATGACAAACTATGGGATGATGCCCTATTTACAGAACTTGCTGGAACAAAGCAACACAGAAAAAACTATTTCATTTTGAAATACTCCATCTCTCTGCCTTCAGAGCCCCCACATTAAATAATATCTAAATAGGGGACTCCTTGATTGAAAGCCAGAAACCAAACTCACTGTCATCCAGTCGATTCCGACTCATAGTGGCCCTAGAGGGCAGAGTAGGTTATAAGCGTTTATGGCTGTGGTCAGCCTCATCTTTCTCCCCTGGAGTGGCTGGTGGTTTCCAACTGGGAGCCTTGCAGTTAGCAGCCCAATTTGTAATCCACTATGCCACCAAGGCTCCTTCCCTTTTACTGGAAAGGGTGCTTAAAGACAGCTTAAAGACTACTCTGAATTCACCCATTTTTCTAAAGAGTTTTCCAAATAATATTTAGCATTTAGTTGGTATCTCATGTTTTGCTCCATTTCCCAATTTAGCAGGCTTGAGAAAGATTTTTTGTGAGATAGCAAAATAACACTCATAGCCACTCAGCCAATTTCTCATCAGTAATAATGCCATTTAGTGGGGGCATATTTTCCATAGAGCACAAGAAAAGAAATGTGCAAAATGTTTGGCTCACTATGCAGTAAGACGATGACGGGTTTAAGCTATTTCCTCTGATGTAAAGGAATGGGAAAAGTCCCCAACTTATTCGGTCGACTGATCCCTTTTGAGGGGGAGAAAAAAGTGTTGTCCCCCACCCCCCAGCATTTAAAGTCTGTACTATCACCTAGAATCCAGGAGCATGCTAGCAAGGGCATAGTATTGCTCCTTTGAGAAACATTGCTTTAATGACTCCCCCTCCAGTTAATCCCATTGGTCAACAGCCTGCCTGGTTCAAATCCCATCTTCTTCAGGAGACACTTAGATTCCACTCAGTTAGAATGGGTCACTTCCTCCCACAGCCGATCATGTATCATCCATCCCTGGCCATGTAAAAGGTTATGAAGATATCAATACACAGTCCCTGCTGAACCCCAAATCCCAGAAAGATACAACCTTCTTTTCTCCCTTTGTTTTTCCATACCACCCTGTTCTATCAATACTTACTGAATGGCTGAATTCTCCGTCTGGGGAAATAGAATTAGAGAAGAGGCGACACCGGAGTGTTCTTTCTCCCCTGTACCAACACCTACGTGGGTTCTTTGATCTTAGATGGGAAAGGCACCAAGGGACGCGCCACTGGTCTGGAGCGGAAGTGGTGTCTGAGAATGTCAGAACTCTCTAGGGAAGTAAACAGATTCTTAAAGCCAGGCTGCCCAAAGTCTATTCCTAATTCTGCCTATAATTTCCAATCACTTCATAAACTTTGTATAGTTTGGAACCTGTTATTAGAAAATTGTTCTATAGGTAAATCTAAAGAGACAGCAAATAGATGAACAGTTTCTTAGGGTTATGACAGGGGGAGTTGGGGGAAGAGGGAAGCTAACAATGGATACGAGAATGAAAAAAAAAAATCTAAAATAGACTGGGGGTGACGAACGCACAACTCTCTTTAATATGCTTAAATTTTGGGTTATATGATAGGTGACTTCTATGTCAATAAAATTGTTAAAAAGTAAGTGAGGGGAAAAAGATAATTGTCCTAAGTGAGAATCTGAAAGTCTGATTTTCCTGTGAGCTAGTGCACAAAACGGGCCCAGGAGAGTAGAAAGAAATGGGTTTGGAACGGATGCTATACTTTACAGGACAGGATTTCATCCTTTATTGTGAAGATTTAATGAGATAAATCAATGTACAGCCTTCTTAGCTAAGGACGTGGCCCAGAGCAGGAACTCAATAGTCAAGTAACTATCAAGAATTCTAGTTATTTTGGAAATGCAAAAGTTCACCATAAATCTAAAAGAAGCTATTTTGTAAATGCAGAAGTCCTACCCTGATGAGGGGATTTCCAATAAATTGTGGAAAAGTGGAATAAAAAAATTATGGAATTTTCCCCATCAATTTTTTTTGAAGCTGAAGTGTGGTCTTCAGTCTGTGAACAAAAAACAAAACAAACAACAAAAAGATAACCCCAGCTTATCCTAACCATGCACTTGGCACTGAGAGGCAACTAAGTGAATTCCTAAAGTGTACCGCCACCCCCCCCCCAAACAAATCTGTAAGAATACCAACTAGGGACACTAAACAATAAATCAGACCCTGAAAACAAACTACTACTTATCTACATGTAAAAAGGAGGGGGCAGGGAAGGTGCTAGGCAGGTAGAGAGGCAGAAGGTGCGACATTCAAGCTTCTGGGCTCTGGGGCAGCTGCACATACCTGGCGCTGTTTGTCAGCAATGGGAGACGACCTGGACCTCACGTGGACAGGGACGGCCAGGGCATCGGAGCGTTCCAGCAGGTCCTCTGCCGACTTGGATTTCCCGGTCCTCCCCGCGGTGCTCCCCCAGGAGGATGGCTCTCCAGGGGTCCTGTCCACCCTCTGGGGACCTCGAGGCCCGCCATTAACTGCGGGCTCCTTTGGGGCGTGGGGCTCCGCGTGCCTCCGTTCCCAGAGAAGACGGCCGCTGGCAAAGGAGCTGCTGAGATTCCGTGGGGTGCGCGGGGGCTCCCGGTGGGGCTGCAAGCTCGGCTCCCGCAGCAGCAGCAGCGAGCTCAGGCTGGAGGCCGAGGCGAGGCAGGGGCCTTCGGGCGGCGCGGGGTGCAGGTGGGAGCTGTGCGCGCGCTCCCGCAGCGGCGCGGGCTCGTGGAAGGCGAAGCCCGCGGAGGACGACGAGGGCCGCTTGCCGGTCTTGCGCTGCACGTAGTCGGCCAGGACACTCTGCTGGAACTGCTTCAGCTCGGGGCCCGACAGGCTGAGCGTTGAGCAGGCCTTGCCGTCGCGCTCGAAGATGCGGCGGCGGTCGGCCACCGTGGTCTCCGGGAAGGGCAGCCCCTTCCTCTGCGGACCCAACGGCGCGGACTCGGCCTCCTCCGAGACCCCCACCTCGTTTATCTTTTCGGGCTCCGAGTAGGAGAGCTTCTTCTGCTCCGGGGTCAGGCGCCGGCGTGCCCCCCTCCGGACGGCGGCCGGGATCACAAGTGGGGCCGGGTCCCCTTCGGCCGGGGTCACGCTGTGCCGCTCCCGGGGTGTGTGGGGGGACTGGGAGATCCCCACGGGTGCCCCGGGGCTCCGCAGCCCCACGTGGGCCGACGCAGGCCTGGGTCGCCAGGGCCTGGATGTCGCGGGCGCCCCCGGCTCGAGGTCCTTCCGTCGGAAGGAGGTGGCCCCCAGGACGCGGGACTGCGCGTCCTTGATGCTGTTCCGGTAGGCGCGGCTGAAGGGGGCGTCCAGCAGGGGCGACTCGGGGCTGCTGGGCCGGCCATCTGGCCACCCGGCCTCTTTCTCCGCCGGGCTGAAGAGCTGGAAGGTGCTCTGGCTGCGGAGAAGGCGAGCATCGCGCCTGGGGGGCTCGCCGCCTCGGGGTGGGGGGCCGCGGCCGCCGTCCACACCCCTCCTCAGTTGTGGGCCGCAGGGCTGGCAGGAACCATCTTCCACAGTCGCGTCGCTGGGAGGCTCGAGGCACGCAGAGCGGCTGTTGGCTCGCGCCTCTTCCGGTTCACTCCCGGAAGTTGACCCCGCCCTGGTGGGCCTATAGGAGTAGCCGTAAGTGGAGGGGCCCACGAGGTGTGAGGGCCTCTGGGCCCCTTGCTCTCGCTGCTCGATTTCGGAAACCTTCTCCAGCACGGAACAGCGGGGCTTCCCGCACTGAAAGCCCTGCAGCGGGAAGGAGATGGGCCTCCCCAGACTGGCCGTCTGCGGGTGTGGCGGGGAGGCGGGCTCGGCGGACCGGGGGTCAGAGCTGTGGAGGGAGGCAGAAAGGTCGGCTCTCACCTCGGGTCCCGGATGGGAAACCAGCCTGTTGAGGTGGCTCCTGTGGTCAGGTGCGACTCTCCTTCCAGGGTCCTCTGCCTTCGTGCTGACGGCGGAGGCTGGCTTGCCCTCTGGGTAGCCCTCCTGAGATCCGACGCCCAGCTCCAGGCTGCTTCGCCGTCGTAGGCTCTCTGGAATGTTCTGGAGAGATGAGAAGGCTGACTTGGCCTTACCAAAGTTTCTAGCTAGGCTCTGGCCGAGGCCTTCTGTCTCCTGCCTCCTCGGGAGGTTGGCGTTAGGGTCTTCTCGGAAACGCACCCCCCAGGGCTCTGAGGGCCGGGAAGATTGCCTGTCGTCCACTTGCCAGGTGGGGGCTGGCGCAGGGCTTAGACTGTGGGGATCAGAGTGTGGCTTGCTGCCGTGGGTGCCCTTTCTCCCAGTGGGCTGTGGGCTGTCGCCTGGGGGAGACAAGAGCTGTCCCCTCAGGGAGATATCTTCCTCATTTTCAGGCACGGATGGGACATGGGCTTTGTAGGCAGCAAACTGGGCTGTAGTTTCTGGTTTCCTCTCCGCTGCTGACAGCCAGTCTTGCTGGATGGGCTGGTAGAAGGTGGCACCAGGCCGACTGGGCCCATTTTGGTTCCCATTCTCATCAAATGTCGCCATCTTGTCGTAGGCGGCCTGAGGGGCAGCATAGCCGCTCTCCTTGGCCAGGGCCGGGTAAAGCATCCCATTACTGTTGATGGAGGGCTGGGGCACCTGGGCAAAGTGTGGCTCCACGGTAGGGACCGCGTAGATGCCAGTGGGGAGCAGAGGTTGGCCTGGCTGGGCCTTCTGGGGACTGTTATGCTTGGGCTTCACTGGGGGGCTGCTCTCTGGACTTTTCTCGGGAACAGTGTGCAGCTGTTCCTCGGCGTATGGAGACTTCCGGGAGCCTGAGGAGTTGGCCTGAGGCCGGCAGAACCGTTTCTGATCCAGGCTAGACCAGGAGCTGGGCCGTTCGCGGTGTCGGATGGCTGCAAAGCTGTCACTCCGAGCTGGGGGTAAGGGTGCACCCACTTTAGGAGGTGGTTTGTCAGTGGCAGACTCCAGGGCGCTGGGCCACTGCTGGTTCCAGGATGTGTGTGGTACCCCTTTGCCCCGAGAACCATTGTGCCACTTCTCATAGCTCTGACCTTCTGCTGATGCTCGGGCCTCGCGCCCTTGAAGCAGCAGGGCGGAAGAGTTCACCTCATACTCTTCTGATACTCCCCTCCGAGTGTCATAGACGGTCTTGACATAGCGAATGTCTGCTTGCCGCATGCCTTCCAGGAGGCCCCCTCGAGCAGAAGAGGTATCCGTGGAGCCGGAGCGTTCCCGAGCAGAGCTGCCCGGAGGAGGTGGATACTCTAGAATGCTAGAACTGGTGGAGAAGGAACTGTATGCAGAGTCTCTCTTGCTATGGAGGTGGCCGAGCTGGTCGATGCTGCTGGTGGACTTGGCAGGGGACAGAAGATGGCATGGTGGGTATCCTGTCGCGGGTTCCAGGCTCTCCATGCTCCCCTGGGAGCTGCACTGGTCAGGGCTCCTTCTCAGATAAGCATGGTCATAATTGGAGAGGTCACTTGTGGAGGAGCTGGAAGAACGTGAGAGAATGCAGTCAGCACCACTGAGCGCTCAGCACTCTAGTAGGCTTACAGGCACAGAACCCAGCTTATAAAAGTACTCTTATGCAAGATGTTAAGTGTTTTTTTTTTTAAGTGTGGGTAAAAAGGGCCATATTTGGGCCTGACTCAGGCCACTCTATGTCATCAGCAGGAGTAATTGTCTAATACTGTAACCTATGCGCCTCTTATTAATCACTGGAACTAGCAAGGGCAGTAACAAGGCACATCAAAAAGCCATAGGGCAGTGCATTGATGTGATTTGCTACTTGCTGGAAATGATATTATGGATGTGCCAAGAGAGGACCGAGGTGGGGGTTGAGGAGAGAGGAGGAGGAAGAGTGATGGGGCTGTCTGAGGGAAGAGGAGAAAGGCTTCGTAAGATAGGCGTGCGAGGGGTGCTCTGTGTGCACACGTCTATGTTTTTAGTTAGTATCTTTCCTTTTTATGGAATTGGTGGCTACACCCTGGCAATCTTCCTAGAATCTCAACTGTCCTAGAGACAGTTTGTATGAGATGAGAAGGCTAACCACAAAGCTGAATGAGAGAAATATACACATAAAGAGATCAGAGGCGTAAATGACTGCGGAAAAGCAAGAGGGAGAGAGGAAAGCTTTATAAGAAGTCCTGATCACAAGAGGCTCTGGGTTCTCAGCCTGTCCTCACTTATGCAAAGCATTTAGGACTTTGCAAGGGGCTGTCCTCTCTTATGGGAGCCCTGGTGGCGGTAGTGGGTTACAAGTTAAGCTGTTAACCAAAGGGTGAGCAGTTCGAAACCAACAGCTGCTCCAAGGGAAAAAGACAGGGCTTTCTATATCTGTAAACAGTCTTGAATGCCCACAGGGGCAGTTCTATCCATTCCTACAGGGTTGCTCTGAGTCGGCATCGACTTGATGGCACTGAGTCTGAGTTGGCTGTAACTCAAGCACATAAAATATATGCCCATCTCCGTCCCAGGGCCTTTGCACTACCCAGAATGCACTGCAGCTGGCTCACTCCCTTCCTTTAGTCAAATGTCTGCTTCAGAGAGGACTTCCCAGAACTCAGTATCCAAGGAGCACCTCTCTCCTTACTCCTTATCTCTTAGGCTGCTGATTTCCTTCACAGCACTTAACACTGCTTGGCATGACACCACACCCCTTGGTTATGTGACAGACACTTCGATTGTATCTTCAATGTCTATTGTTAAAATATAAAGACCAATAAAAAATATAAAGACCGGATCTGAAATAAGAGAAAGTGCTCATTCTGCAATTGATACATGAACAAGAGTACTATTACTACATCTAAATTACTAAGCACTATTACTCTACTCTTATGGGTTTAGATGTATTTTTTAAAATATCTAAAAAAAATCTAAATCAATAAATAAGTATATGCAAGTATTTCTTACTATGTAGTCTAGAACATTAATTCCTTCAAATCAAATATGCTCGAATATGTTTGAGAATTACTGGGCTCAGTAAGTTGAACAGTTTTATTTCCCACAAACTTCTGCTGCGATTTTCAGGTGATGTTCTTTGTTTTTCCAGGTGATGTTCTAAGGGAAAACTGAAGAGCAGCAATTTTAAAACTTACTTTACTCTAGAAACTTTTTTTCCTCAAGGATCATCTAATGGATTATTTCACGAAGCACACTTTAGGAAACAAAGTGTGAATGAGGGTGTTTTCTATCTTGTTCACTATTACTGTCTTAATTCCTTAAAATGGTTACTCAGTGCATATTTGTGGACTATACGAATCCATGAATCAGTGCTTTATTATTTTCAGACTGTGATTTCAAACTTGTTTGTCAGAGGGCAGGGCCACAGGACTTCCAAGGTTTCTTCTCAAGCGTGTGAGATGACCGTAGGAAACAAACGAGATTGTGGTGAGGGTGTGATAGAAAGCAGCTGACAGACAAGTTCTGTGGAATTCCAAATCCAACTCAGCTCACAGACAGTTAAGACACACACTTTTACACACTGTCTTCCTCTCTTTCCGCCTGCCTGCCCGAGGACTACTGCATTTGCCGGCTTCTTAATGAGAAACAACCCAAACATTTAGCACCGAGAGTGGAAGGAAACTCCAGCTAGCAGAGGGATGCAACTTAGTGCTTGGGCACAGTGGGCCACCCACTGGCACCTGCACCTCCCAAACCACTTAGTGCTTGGGCACAGTGGGCCACCCACTGGCACCTGCACCTCCCAAACCCACCCAGGGTGTGTCCTTATCAACAGCTGCCAAAGTCAGGGCCCAGCATCAAATTTAGACCCAGTGAAGAGGACTCACAGTAGGGTGGTGCCGTCTCACAAACCTGCAGGCTGGAGGCGTGGGGTGGACGCGGGATGATTTATGCTAGGGCAGGCAAGAAGACACCCTTCTGTAGCATTCGGTATGGTTTGGGCTTCTCTTCCTTCTCCCTTTGCACTTCACATGGTGTTTTTGTGCTGACTTCTGTCAAGAACAGCTCTCTCGGAGCTGGAATTACAGAGGCAGAGGTGGCTATGGTAGAAGGGCAGATCCACCTGCCTCGGCTTCTGTGTTGTTTAGGAATGTGGGAGAAGAGATAGGAAGTGGAGAAGGTAGTTTTCTGGTGCTAACTCTACCTTTCCGCTGAGGCCTCCAGGAACTCACTATAGCTACTGTAAGCAGTTATCCTAAGCACTAATCGCAGTTCATCTTATTTCTGCCTGAGGGCCAGTGTGGTGGTGTGTCACAGCCTGACCTGATTTAGGGCCTCCAAAGAAGCTTAGCCCACACTCATCTGTTGGTTTGAATTGACTGGTTGGCAGAGAGTTTGCACATGTTGCTGTGATGCTGAAGCCATGCCACCATTGTTTCAATGCGCCAAACACCAGCAGCATCACCAGTGGTGGACAGGTTTCAGCAGAGCTTCTAGAGCAGTGGTTCTCAACCTACCAAATACCCGACCCTTTATTCAGTTCCTCATGTGGTGGTGACCCCCAACCATAAGATTATCTTCATTGCTACTTCATAACTGTCATTTTGCTACTGTTACGAATCGGGTGACCCCTGTGAAACGGTCATTCGGCCCCCAAAGGGGTCATGACCTGAGGTTGAGAAACGCTGTTCTAGACGAAGATAGGCTAGGAAGAGAGACTTGGTGGTCCCCTTCCAAAGACTAGACAGTGAAAACCTGGATTGCCACAAAACACTGTCCACCACGCTTGCTTTGGGCTGCCCAGCAGGAGGGACCAAATGACTGGAGGCGTGCATCTTAAGGCCTGATAAAGTAGAGGGCCAGTGAAAGCGAGTGAAATTATTGGTAAGATGAACTGGAACAGTAATTCCAAAGATGACTTGCACATGCCAGGCATCATGAGAATGGCACAGTACCAGGCAGTGTTTCATCCTCCTCTACTTAAGGTTGACATGGGTTGGAGTAACTCAGTGGCATATGTCTGTCTGCCCTGAGGCACTCTGTTGATTCAAATGTACATTTGATCAGTATGGGTTGGTTTATGCCATCAACTTGGAAGCTCATTACCAGGTTTCACTGTGCCTCTAAATAGTCTTCAGCATGATCATTACAATTCATTGTCATTTATTGAATGATTACTGTGTACCAGGAACCGCATAGTCTCTTTCTCGTAATAACTTGGTCATTCCTGATACATGCTGCCAAACACATGTTACCACATGATAAGCCTGGCAAGCATGATGCTAAGTGAGATAAGCTGGTAACCAAATGGTAAATATTTGGTCCCACTTATACGAAATGTGTACAGAGACCACTGTTTACTACTCTATACCTGGGAAAGAGGAAGGGAGGGGGAAAGAAGGACTCGCTGCTTCTTGTCTCAAGAGTAATTTGGGGAAATTGGGAAACATCAGGGAACAACACAAACACACTGTCGCCCAACTTTCCATGTGAAGATGGCTAAAATGTCAAATGTTTTGTTACATGTATATCACAATCTATAAAGCGACTCAGCTACTAACTCATTTAATCTCAGTCTGATTCAGTTTTTCCAATGGGGTGCAGTGGGACTGCCAGGAGTAAAAATTAAAGCAGGGCAAACTCCAGCCCATCGGCCAAATCTGATCCACTGTTTCTTTTTGTAAATAAAGCTTTATCAGAACCTGGGCTCCTCATCTGGTAATGTATTTTCAAAACTCAGATGTAATTCAAGGCATTAAAAGCTCACCCTGAAAAGTATCCAATCTAGTGATTTTACAGAATTGATGGGCCCATATATCTCTTCAGTGACCAGCCAGGGGTTCCCTTCCTGCTGATCTAGACCAGAAAGGTTATGCAGATGACTCATAGACAGGTCAGAGGGTTTTAGCTGATGAAAGAGGAAAACCAGGTCAGGAGAGTTAAGAAGTCATTTCAAAAGTGATTCCACTAAAATTCTCAAGACTGCACTCTCTTTCTGGGCACACAATTCTCAAAGGAAACTAACTCCAGTCTCAGCTGCAGCCACTTACCTGGAATGGTAGCTTTGGTGCCAGGGAGTGCCAATCGTGCCCTGGGATATTTGCATCATGCTGGCATCAGGTTGGTTCTCCCCAAGTTTGGTTGAATGCCAAGAGTGAGGTCGGCCTGCAGGTTCACTGCGCCTGGGGAAACACAAGAGGGAGAACCCCCAGACATTAGCAGCCTCGACAGCTGAAGCTGCTCGACTTTATGATGTGACTTTATGAATTTGACAGTAGAGACTGGGGTAGCCCCCCAGAGATGAAAAAGCAAAGTGGATAGATGTTACCGGTGATCTGTCTTAGCATCATTTTTCTCTGCTTTATTAATATTTTTATACCTCTTATTTTGAAGTGATTTCAAACTTACCTTAAAGAAAATGTTATATATATGTAAAAGCAATAAGGAAGCACATGGACTTTGGGCCTCTACTTAAATCTTACCTCAGTACAAGAACGGTTTGTTCAAATAATGTAGCATTGTATGACACCCGCCTTCCTGACATGATTGCTGAAGACAAAATGGGTGCATAAGCAAATGTGAAGAAAGCTGATGGTGCTTGGCTATCAAAAGCTATAGCATCTGGGGTCTTAAAGACTTGTAGTTAAACAAGTGGCCATCTAGTAGGGAAGCAACAAAACCCACATGGAAGAAGCACACCAGCCTGTGTGATCATGAGGGGTGGGCAAGAGGAGATACCAGAAATTTAAAAAACACGCAACCAAATCAATACGAAGGGGACTGGATATAGTGGAGACCCAAATCCCAGCAGCAGGACAATTGGACAGTCCTCACAAGGGCATCACAGAACAGAGGATAGATCTAGGGTGCAGTATGGCACTGATGAACCACAAAACTATCCTTTAGTCCTTTAAGGTTTCCTCTAGTTCTTTAAGATTTCCTCCCCTTAGATAGTAATTAAATCTTCATGTGATATATACCTCATTAATCATGTTAGATTTGCGTTATGTTCATTTGTACATTTAAGATGGCTTGGGACATGGTAATCAAGATAGATGACCCCTCAGAGTCAGTGACAGGAGTAAGGGTTCTCTGAGGGTATGGGACAAGGGGGTGGGGGAGGAACTTGATAGCAATGATGATTGAATAGCCCCACCTGATGGGATTGAATAACAGAACTGTATGGAAAAGGATATATTGGGATGGGTAAGATATGTCAAAACTATTATATGTTAAAAAAGTTGCAAAATGCGTATGCAGAATCAAACTAGGCAATGTTTTGGTCTGTTGCACACAGGGGTGCTGTGAATTGGAACTGACTCTGGCACCTTACAACAATAACAACATATAACCTGGATTTCCTGGTGGCCTAGTGGTTATGAGTTGGACTAACCACAATGACAGTTATTCAAAACTACCACCACTCCGAGGCTCTCTATTCCCCTAAAGAACTGTAGTCTTGGAAACCCGCAGGGGCAGTTCCACCCTGTCCTCTGGGGTCGGCATGGCTCAGCAGCCACTCGGCAGCAGCGAGAGTATGAGCATTTAACACGTTGAGAGTTGTTTTGCTCTTTCTTGGCCCCCGTTTATCCATCTATAAAAATGGAAGCAACGGCCCTTCCTACGTCCCAAAGGACTTTGTGTGGCTAGATGGTAAAAAAGGAGAAGCAGCTTCCAGGGGATTTGAAAGTGCTGTCACACCCTGAGGCTGAATAAATGATATTTTAACTTCTTGGTAAGAAATGTGTAAAAAATGAGCAGCCACAGCATGTTCTCCAAAACTCTTACAGTGCTTGTCGAGACTGCGACTTCTGAAACGTCTTTCCCGGTAACACACACAGGGGGCAGTACTGGCAGACTGCGACACCACAGAATGGATTGGGTAGTGAGGGTTACACTACTATCGAAGGCCAGTCAGGGGAGACTGTGTGTGCTTTATTTTTGGCAAAAGGGTAAGGCAAGCGAGCTATCGGGCATTCCAGGCTGGAAATTCCTGAACTAGAAGACTAGAGGGGGGTTGAATACCATTTGGGAGTACTTTTTAGGGAAACCAAGAACCCATGTTGGTATGGTGGAGATTAAAATGATAAATTATTCCAACTCATCGTACTGGCTCTGTGGTTAAGCACATGCCTGTTTTGATAAAGAAACAATGTACGCCTCTGTACTATAAATGGGCTCAAACATAACAATTGTGAGGCTGGCACGGGATCAGGCAGTGCTGTGTTCTGTTGTATACAGGGTTGCTGTGAATCAGAACCGACTCAATGGCACCACACAACAACTGTACATGAAAAGCCATCCATCCCTCCCGGGTCAATGTCCAGTGTTAGTTAAAATAATATTAGCCCTGCAGTCAGGAGCTGTATCAGCTTGATAGCTACAGTCCGTGTAAGTCATTCCTCCTCCTCGGTCCGCTTACCTATGAAATGAAGAGATTAATTTTAAATGGCTAGATTAATTTCCTTTTGACTGGAAATAACTTTACAAATGTGTACGAGAGACCCTGTTAAGTCTTAAAGCCAGCATTTAAATCTAGTTAGACATGACTTCAGGCACTCAATAAATACTACTAGTTCATCAAACACTCAGAGTCCAGTTAGTCATGGAAAATAAGGAAAAATAAGGTCTCTATCAACATACAAAACACAATCAGAGTGACAGAGCTCAGAAAAGGAAATCTGAAAAACAATACCATTCATAATAGCCAACCAAAAAATGAAATACTTATGAATAAACCCAACTGGAGAAACAAACAAAAAACAAAGAAAGCTACAAAACAGAACAAGAAACAGTGACCTACATATATGGGAAGAATGTCAATATTACCCAAAGTGGCATCTCATAAACAAGGTAACCCTGATCCAGACCCCAGCATACTTCTTCAAAGAGATGGAAAAACTGATCATCCACTTCCTATGGAAAAGGACTAATCATCCACTTTCTATGGAAAGACACCCAGGATAAGAAAAAACCCTACTAAAGAACAGGAAAAAAGTAGGAGGCTACTTACTTCCCAGTCCCAAAACATACTACACAAACAGTAGTGAAAACAGCCTCGCTCTGTTACAACGAAACACATATAGACCAATGGAGCAAACTTGATCACCCAGAAGTAAATGCATGTACCTACAGACAACTACTCTTTGACAAAGGTCTGAAACATATTAAATGGGGAAGAGAAAGTCTCTTCAGTAAGTGGTACTGGCAGAAGAATGAACGAGGGATCCAACCTCATTTCATGTACAAAAATAAACTCATTAATTAAAGACCTGAATATGAATCCTAGAATTATAAAGATCATTAATGAAAAAACTGGGGACACACATAGAGGCCCTAATACAGCCAGAATAGGTGAATGGGATTTCCTAAAAATAAACTTATGTGTATCAAAAAATATTTACCAAGAGTCAAAAGAAAACCCACAGCCTGGAAAGATTTTTTTAACAAGGGACTAATTTCTAAAATCTAAAGAAAACTATACTACCCCAACAAGGAAGTGACAAAAGAAAACTAAGGTTTCTTTTACATGAGCACCTGGAGAGGTTTTATTATGCAACATTTTGCAGCCAATGGGTCCAAACCCTGTGCTGTCAAGTCAATTTGGACTTACAACGACCATACAGGACAGGGTAGAACTGCCCCCATAGACTTTAAATCGTTCAGAGGCATTCTGCCACATCTTTTTCCTGTGCAGTGGCTGATAATCAAACCACTGACCTTTTGGCTGGTATTCAAGGGCTTCACCACTGAGTTATCAAAATAAATGAGGAAGAACCATACATCCACCAGTCCCCCAAATCCACTTAGCTACCTAGTGAGGGGATTAGGTATGACTCCTCAGTGTGAGCTCTGAGTCCAGGCGTGGGCTGTGAGGAGCTGACGGGTGCCAATGAAGAGTGAACTTGGAGCTGCAACTGTTAGAAGGCTGGAGATGGATTCTAGGGAGTTCCATCCCCCAATGGTACCATTTATCCCCACCTAGCTAAGAGATTGGGGCTAAGAAATGTTTCCAGCCGGAGCAAAATGGAGCAAGCCAACACAGCTGCCCTTGAGCCCACCCTTGAGCCCATGTAACAAAGCCGAGCTGCGCTCCAGGGGTCTTCATGGCTGTGACCTTGCAGAAGCAGACGTTTCTTTACAGGCATGGGTGGGCCCAAACTTCCATCCAAACCCAGGTTGTGCCACACAGGAACTGGGTAATGGACAGGCCCTAGTAAATTTCAGAACCTCTACAGAAAAAGGCTCCTCTTCCGGGTCTGCAGATGAGGTGCAGGATAATATTTAGCAATAATTTCAGGGGCTCCAGACAATCTCTCTAGCCTGAAATCCCAAGGGAGGGAAGAGGTGCCTTGAACTACACTATAGCCACCAGAACTTAGATGATTTGGCACAGCTCTTCATGAATAATCAGGCACACCTTGCTGAAAATTCTGAACCAGTCACTTTGAAGTGTGTATAAAAGGACATGGGGAATGCAAGCCGATACGGTTGTATCGCCCAAGTTAAGTGAAGAAAATTCCTTTTGTGTGCTCTGAAACAACAGCACGAGTTCATGTTAAATGTAAGCTTATCCAGACTTCTCTCTGGTTTCCTTCCTATTCATTCAGGGGACGCTTAGAGGGACTTCTGACATGCCAGCCCTATGCTAGCACTCAGGATACAAAGAGGAGTCCGATACCATCACTGGACCCAAATAAACCACAATATAGCAGGAGACACTAAAGCACTACAGTACAATGCGGTAGGTTCCGCAAAAGAGACCTGGGCCAGGGGGCGGGTCAGAAAGACTCTCCCTCTGACTCAATCAGGAAAGAGTCCTCTGATGAAAGGGGGTGGGAAATGGAAAGGAAAGACGGGTAGGCAGGCGAACCGCATGACAAAGGTCTGGGGGTGAGCAGGAACACAACTTGCAAACTCCAAGTAGGTACAAATGGGAGGACACACGTGTGAAAAAGCAGTCCTCAAAGGTGAATAGGTAGCAGGGCTCAAACAACTAACAGTGCAATAAACACCGTTTGGGTGGGGTGGGGGTGGGTGGGAGCGGTGGGGTAGGTAAAGGTCTGACATCCCTCCATCCTCTACCTTTTTGTGCTCGGTTTGGTAATTCGCTGCCATGGCCACACAGAACTCATGGACAGAAGTCAGAATTAAGAGTGTTTATTGGAAGAACTGCAGGAGG